AATCATTCTTAGCTGATCTGGAGCTATTGAGTAAAAAGAAGGTAAACATACTAGAGTGAGGGGGAGAGAGAGGAACATGCTTAATAAAATGGTACTGAACAACTGATTTCAGCTGACTAATGGATATGATCCTTTGAAAAGTCCTTCTGTGCCGGAACTGCACATTAGAACAAGGTTATACAGTTTTAACTTAAGATAAGCAAGTCTGGTCCCATAAGCTACTTGAAAGAAAGTCCACTTGGAAGCAATATTTAAGTTACTGAATCCCTTTTATGAAAAACAGGGCACAAGTGGAACAACATGGTAATCTCATTGGTCATGGCAACTACTACCCAGTTTCTAACATTCCATTCTTCAGCAAGATGTTGGAGAATACAGTGGTTGCTCAAACCCAGACATTGTTGAATCATGTTGGTTATAAACAGCCTTGGTCATCCAGAAAATGGATGAAGAGAATATAACCTAATTGGTGTTGCTGAAACTCTCAATATTGCAGTATTGCCAACCATGGTTTCTGTCTGGGCCATTTGCCTGATACTGGCTTAGGACACATAGTATTATGGCGATTCTGGTTGTTGCTGAAGAGTTGGTCTGTTGTGAGATTTTTGTTCCTACCCATGCTCATTGACTTTCCTTAACATATAGTGCCCTTCTGTTATTATGGACTTCAATTTGCATTGAACCCTGCCAGCATGGCCTCATCTAGTAGTCACTTTGCCCATGCTGTGCTCTCCTCAATGTTATATGTACCTGTGCAAGCTGATCTGTACATCTCAGTGAACTGGCAGGATAATAGAAGTAGCTCAATCAAGTTGTTGTAATAACATGCAGTAATGCATGATATGTGAATAAAGTTATCTGTTTAGAGGCAAGCTCTCTGGAATGTCTGCCATACTATTTGCAGTACCTTGCCTATATTTGCTGTATACTTTACCACTGGGAAGTTCCTAAATTAATTGCAGTGCAGTAGTATTTGTAAGTGATGCAAAGTAATTACATGTCAGTAATAAATTGTTGAAATTGCTACATACACATCTGCCAGCAACTTTTGAGTCAGCTGCAGTATCAGCAAATTGCTTCTGAAAAAAAGAGACCATACTGTCAGTGCCCATGGGCCATGGTTCAGGAAAGAATCTCAGTCATGGTAGCTGACAAGGTTCTTTAGCTAGAACTGGTTTTCCCTATAATGTTTATTTGCTGATCATAACTTTATGGTCCTAGTTACTGATATCCTACTTGGAATGAGATCCAACAAAAGCAAAGCACCAAGGCACAGAATCATAGGATAGCAGAGGTGGAAAGGGCTATGTGGGCCATTGGACCCAACCCCCTGCTCAGTGCAGGTCTCTGAGGCAAACCATCCCTCTCAGATGGCTGTCTAGTTGCATTTTGAATGTCTCAAGTGTGAGAGACCCACAGCCTCCCTAGGTAATTGCTTCCATTGTTGTACTACTCTAACGATCAGGAAGTTCTTCCTGGTGTTCAGCTGGAAACTGGCTTCCTGTAACTTGAGCCTGTTATTCCGTGTCCTGCACTCTGGGATGGTCAAGAAGAGATCCTGGCCTTCCTTGTTGTTACATGCATTCAATCATAATGAACATTAACATGCGTATTTACTCAGAAACCAAACTATGTACAGCAGACCTTGTTCAATTGCATCATTAGGGTGAAATCCTGTGCAAGTTTTAGACCTACATTTTAGAAATAAAAACCAGCAGCTCCACCATGTTTCAGCCAGCAAAGGGATTATGACTTTAAGAAGGTTTATGGAAGGAAAACGCCTAAACCCTTGCTCTCCATTGCAGCCCCTGAAAAACCTCACCAGAGGGCAGAGTGGTAATTACCTCCTGAATAATGTAAGAGCAAAAATGAGGGAGTTCTTGATAAGAACAAGTTGGGAAGCCTTCATTCTGTGTACTTCCTTGAGTAATCTTTGGAACCAAGTCTAATTTGGGGCCAGTCCTTTCCCTCAGCAGCCCCCATATCTCATTCCTCACTGTGTGCAGGAACATTCTTTGAACCATCATTTCAATTATTTTGGTTGCAACTTTATGCACATTTATTGCATCTTGAAAATAAGATGCCTGGAAGACAGCAAGGCTTACTTTAAGCATATACAGAATGATGCAGTTTGTTGTCAGCACTATTTACAAATATATATCATATGGACCATTTGAAAAGACAGTGCCTACCCTTAAAAATATAGTTAAAAAACTTTCATGCAGACAAAATATGGTGATCTAATGTAATTTTAAACTGTTAAGGAGGTGATTAATAAACTATATATGGCCAAATGTAACCCCCTAAGTAAGGATGTGTAATAACCTCTGAGAAATTTCAATATTTCTTGCAATTTCTACAGATATTTCAGCTGTGCAGAACTTTGCTGTGCACAATACCTTGGGTAAGAATCATGGTTTCTTGGCACATTCACAATTTTTTTCTCTCTGACTGAATGTCTGTGCCTTTAACAGTTGTGTGATGTGCAGAAATTCTAAAGATAGAGTCATTCAAATCTCCAGGTCTCTATTCTATGGAAAGCTCTTTGTCTGCCATGACCCATTAAAGGCCCTGAGGGAAAACAATGGTGACAATCCTAAAGAATAATACTAACAATATTACATGTGCACAGCAAATGCTAAGCTTTCCTGCCTTGCCCTGTTTTAGGAGAAGCAACGGATAATGTTGATTTCCCTTTCTCCCTTATGGCATCTACTGAACAGCTTACAGAAATTATTCATGGAAAAGTTGTTGGAAAGAATTTGACAGTATATGCAGTTATATTTAAATTGGTGCTTCAATGAGTATAGGCATCCCCATATAGCAAGACTTAGGAACTATGGCCTTTCAATTACTTTTGGGCTTCAACTCCAGCACTGAATAATGGTTACAGTATTAGCCTGGGATTCAGGAGAGCAGGATCTAGACCCCACTTAGCTATGAAATTTAGTGATTCACTTTGAGACAGTCATTGACTCACAGTCTGTCCTACCTTACAGGGTTGCTGGGAAGATAAAATGGGGAGGAGAACAAGGAGGGGTATTGTGTAAACTATCTTGGGCTCCTTCTGGGGAAAAAGGTAAATAAGGGTACATAATAAAGTCCCATCAGCCCCAGGTAGCATGAGCAGTAGTAAGGGATGATGGGAGCTGTTAGTCAAACATTTATAGGGCCAAAGGTCCCAGCCAGGTTACTACTCCAGTACAACTCTACCGAGTTGCTCCACGCAACACTTTGCAACAATTTGCAAAACAACAAATCAACAAAACGAAAGAGAAAGGAAGGTGCTGGTGCTGTGGGGAGTAGCCGGGCTTATTATAGGCTTATTGAAAGGATGCTAGGCAGGAGACATTATCCAAGGTTGCCCAGCTTTTCATATAGTTTTCTGCAAATGTCCAAGCATGTGTCTGGACATTTCTGGGTGCCCTCCTCCCCCCACGGAGCATCGTAATCAGCAGGCAAAGAGCAATTAGCCTTCTCTTGTTGACGGGAGGGCGGGATATGCGTCTGGGGGGGGGGGGGGGAGGCTGCACATGATCAACCATGCTTGGTGGATAAGTCTGTTGGTTGTTGCCATGGCTACGAAAAGCAAGTGGAGCCCAATGAGCTGTCTGCAGCAGTGCTGAAAGGACCAGCCATTTTGCCGGGGGAGGGGGGGGGTTTGGAGAGACGCGGTAGCATATTCTGCTGAGCTTTACCGTGAAGTAAACAAACAGACCCCCCTCCCCCGATCAAAGTGGGGGCATATATGGCGAGGAAACTGTAGCGGCCATCATATTCGGGATTAATTAATACAGCGGGGAATGCCTGCAAGCTGCCATTTTGACAAGCCGGCTCTCGCCTCTGCTCGCGCCGGAGCTGAGAAAAGGTGGAATGCAGCGGGAGAAATGCCACCTATCCCCTAGCGCGGCCACGGGGGCGGCTTTGCGCGCGCGCGCACGTGCGCGCCTGGGGAGGGGGGCGGGGGGCAAGGCTCCTCTGCAATGTTATCTCCCTAGCTCTCCCGCTGCTTCCAGAGCGCAAGCTGCTGACCCAAAAGAAGGGTGTTACCCTCTCCTAACATTGATCTTGTGCGTGCCGCCGCCGCCCGCCGCCGCCGCCGCTTCACCGGAGTGAGGCACACCGCTAGCTGCGCGCGAGCAAGCAGGTGTGCTACAACTCCGGGCGGGCTCCGTATTGTAGGCTGTGCAAAGAGGGGGGAAGAACCCAGCACCCTCTCAGGTCTGTGTGCACTTCCTATTAACAGATTGCTGGCTTGGAAGCATCTGGCTGTGGATTTAGTCGGAGACAGAGGCTGCTGCTCTTCACGAGCGTCTGAACTACTCCCGAAGAGGTAAGCTTTTGTTTCCTGGCTTCCACTTCATTTCCCCAAAGACCTAGGTGGTGTAGCTATCACTTGCGTGAAGTTTCCAAAGCCCTCCACGCTTGGTTTTCTATTCAGTTTGCATGGGCAATTTAAAAGGGGGGGCATTCCTTTCAATGATTAGAATGCCCGTTTTTGCATTTTGCAAGCTAGACTTTCTCCTTGGAATCTGCCCTTCCCTCCGTCCGCTCTTTCACATATACTCATTCGTTATAGGCTTTCTATATTCAGAGAGGCTCTTTTTGTAAACCACGACCTGAACTATGGGGGAAAAAACGTATTCCAAGACTTAAGAGTTTTCCTAGAATAAAATCTAAGCTCTCGCCTCGAGTCTCTCCATCTTTCAGTGTTGACATTTTGCTCAGCATTAACGTTCTTTAACTAGATTAAAAGAGCACCGCCACCCTCCCGGACGACTGCTCTTGCCTTGCCTTGTATTGTTAGTATGTAGGTCATAAGGGAAAGCAGCGTTTGCACTAGTTTCATGGACTGCACGCCCCATTGCTGTGTTTGATTAGTTTCTGATGCTTGCGCTGTTAAGAAGCCAGTAAGTAGGTATGAGAAGCAGCTTGCGGCTCATTTTCAAAGAGCTCCCACATAACATACTCATCCACAACACACCCATTGTGTGACTCACTTTAGAGATGGCTTGAAAGAAAGGAAGCCAGTGCTCCACAGGGACCACGAATGCAGCTAGACAGAAGAAGGGAGAGAAACTCCTTTGACACACCACCACGGTGGCAGAGTGCGTGTTAAGCAGCTTGGGGACAAAGGAAATTACAGTATCCACATACAGCATGCTTGTGGACATACTGAAGCAGAGGGCTCATGGCATATGTCTATAGGCTTCTGATCCTTTGTAAATTGTTCCTTAAATGATAATTAATAAATCTGGCCAATAGAACTGCAATCCATTGACCAAGTAGGGACCTGATCATGCTTAAATTATAGTAAAGGCTAGGGAGGTATTCCAGGTTACTAATATTTCTGCCTCCCCATCATCATTTTTTGCTGCTTAGCATGAGGTCGAAAACTTGGTATTGTTTTGTTGCTCCCCCTTCCACTAAAATTCCATATGTTGTCAAAGGGCTGATGGATAATTTTTACACTTAAGGATAGAATCACCACTTGATTAAACATTACAAAATGCTGTGCCTAAGTCAACTGGTAAATTAGTAACAAATTGGCATTATGTGCTTGGTGTCAAAGTCCAAGACATTTTCAGGTGTCTTTGCAGTGTGTATATATTTGTACATTTGCTGAGGAAGATGGGTACATGTTGTACTTATTGTGCACAGAATTGTACATTCACTTTTAGGATATCTTACCTACCAAATCTCTCTGAAATGAACTGTTTTGCTTCATTTCCTCCGAAGCACTTAAATTGTCTTGTTGTATGTTTTCTTCTTCTGTCTGTTATGCTCCCAGGTGTCTGGGGATGGGACCACAGCCTTCCCTCCATGGGTTCTCCATGTGTCATTCTTTATAGCATCTCAGTGATTCTGACAATTTAGCATGTATTTATGCATGCTGTTCTGTGCATGATCTTCTGACTGCTTCACACATTAGAAAATTCTTGCAAAGGAAAACATTTTAAGGTTCTATGGCACTAAGTGCAGAATATCAGTTTAATAAATAATTTTCCATATATGCATGTATGTGAAATGTGAATGTGAGCTTTTTATCTTGGACACATGCTGGAAATTGAACATTATATTTAATTTCCATTCAGAAGTGCCCTCTTGATTGAATGTTGCCATGTTTGGAGCACACTTTGTGAAGAGTCTTCCCAAGTGTACCCACAAATACTATTTGAAATGAGCTACACTGATTTAAAGAGGGAAGGAAAACTTTAGGGCACCAGACTTTGTTGGATTTCAGTTCCAATCAATCCTAGTCAGCACTAACAATAGTTAGGAAGGATAGAAGTTGTAATGCAACAACATCTGCAAGGTTCACAGATTCCCTACCCCTGGATGGCAGCATACTTTCAATTTGAAAATAGTTTTTATTGTACATGGATGTCAACCAGAAGTAACACACTGATGTCTCAAAGCTGATTTAGACATTGAGAAAAATATACTTGTATAATCCTGGAAGATCATATCATCCCCCCAAACAAATGTAATCACAAGGTCATTGTCACTTACTTAAAATTGTTTGTCAGTTCTCAGCGCAGAGTGAGATCCTGCCCTGTGCACAAAAGTCAAAGGAGAGGAAGTGAGATGCAACTCCCTCATCCTGTTCTCAAGCAGAAAATGTGCAGAGGAGTAGGATCAACCATCCATTTCACATTAGGTTTGCAGACTGCTGCTTTTGACTCGGAGTGCCTTTGAAACATTCAGGAAAGGGATCCAAGTACTTCCTGAGATTTTCCTCAAGCAGCTAGGAATCACAGCCCTGCCTTCTCTGCTCCCTCTGTGTGGCTCCAAAGCAGGGATACCATGAGAGGCATGGCTAGCCAGAAGCGGCAAGTAATTTGCCCCAAAGAATTAGTATTAAGCAGAGTTGGGATGTGAGCCTCACACCTTTGAATGTGTGATGTTGAGTGTCAATGGAGATCAGTTTCATAAAAGGTACAAACTCTTTTCTCTTCCCTCAGCTTCACTGCCAACCAACTAGTTCCCCTGTATCTCTTTCCCTCTTACTTTCTTATCCATAGAGGCTCATAGTTCCCACATACACACAGCTCTTCATAGCCCCTACTGTTCTTCCTCAGCCCTCCATAAAGTTCATTATCCTAGGGATGAGCTGGGATGGAGCCTACCTGCAAACATTAGATGCTCCCCAGACTGATGCTTTCCTGTGCAGCACGCCTGGGCAACAAGAAAGGATAAGAGAAAACTGACCCAACTCTGTTGCTTTGATCTGGTTTCCCACATCTAAACTCTAAACTCTGACCTCTAATCTCTGCACAGATTTGGTATTTTAGATGCTACCTAGTTCTTTAAGCAAGTGCTTTATACATTCAGTACTGAGGAGATATTAAGGGAATTTGAATGTTATGCATGTGGGCTATAAAGGAAGTAACGCGGCCATTGTTACGTGCTGTTAAGTCATCTCTGACTTACGAGAATGCCCTCCGAAATGTCCCATTCTTGGCAGCCCTGCCTGCTGCACACTTGAATACGCAATGCTGTGAATTCCTTAATGGAGTCAGTCCATCTCGTATTTGGTCTTCCTCTTCTTTTTCTGCCTCCAACTTTCCCTGGCATGATCGTCTCTCCAGTGAATCTTGCCTACTCATGATGTGCCCAAAGTATGACAGCTTCAGATTTATCATTTTTGTTTCCAGGGAATGTTCTGACTGGCACTGCTCTATGACCTACTCGTTCACCTTTTTCCCTCCAGCATCATGTTTCAAACACGTCAATTACCTTCCTGTCCAACTTTCACACCCATACATAGCAAACAGGAATGCAGCAGTGTGGATGATCCTGGCCTTGGTCTGCAGTGAAATGTCCTTACACTGGATTATTGTTTCAGGTTCCTTCATTGGTGCTCTTCCCAGTCTCAACCTCCTCCTGCTTTCTTGGCTGCATTCTCCATTTATATTGATGACTCAGCCAAACTATGCAAAATCATTCACAATATCTTGACATCATCGTTGACAGTGAAGTTCTGTAATTCTGTAGTCGTGATTTTTGTTTTCTTAATATTTAGCTGGAGTCCTTCTTTTGCACTTCAGCTACTGCTGTTGCCCAGTATCTTCCCTTCAGAAGTATCTCTGGCCCCATCACCATTAGAGATAATCTACTCCCTTTTTCTGATGTGACTGCTGTTACTTTGCCTATTTTGTCTTGGGAGACCTTGCTAGGAGACCAGCCTAGAGAGAGAGTTTGGACTCCTAGCAGAATGGCTGCTGGCTTCTCTACACTCTCAAACCCTTCACTGTATTAAGGTATGCATGCAAGGAGTATGGGACCATGATTTGGTAGAAAGAGTGGTAATAGAACTCTTCAATGACCTGCAGTGATTTGACATGACCTACTAATGGTAGAGTGTCATGTCCACCTTAATTATGATTCAGGCTATATTATGTTTTAAATCGGCCACATGCCTTCAGTGTGAATGTGAGCCCAGGGTATACACAGAAAGGGACACACAGTTGAGCGGGACCACACCCTCCCTGATCCACTGCCTTGCCTTACCTTAGGGAGCCTTGTTTCCTCAAGTAGTCCCCACGCCTGACTCAGAGCAGCTCAATTCCAGTATGTGAGGCTGAAGCAACGCACTGTAGTGAGAAGAGGCACAGGAGGGAAGGAGGAAGGTTCCCCCCTCACCATGTGCTCTGTTTTATGCTAAATAAATCAATCAAATATGCCTCCTGCTTTCTGTGTGAATGAGTCAGACCTGTGATGTGTGGTGTGATGTATGTGATGTGACAGACACATGACTGCCTCGTTGCATCTACGTAGATTCAGTTGGGCCAATCTGTGCAAGGGGAACCAAATCTTGGCAAACTAAGTCTAGACATGACTGGCAAATGATGGCCAGTAGACTTTATTAGTTCATAACTCACCATTTAGCACAAAGTGATCTACATGGTTCTGTGTCTTCCTGCCTCCATTGCTAGAGAATAATAACTCTGAGCACTCAGAACTGGGTTTCTTCTGGACTTGTTTTATTGTATCTGGAAATCTAAGTCATGCCACTTGCGGAAAGGAGAACCTGTGAAGCATACCTTGTAGGAAGCCATTTCTCTGTGAGTCAGCCTTAACCATAGCCCTTTCTAGACGGGGCAGGGAAGTAATTCAAATACCAAGTGGGTGCATGCATAGCTTCAGAAGTTGCCTCTTGGAAAATGGTGATCTGTAGTATTCCAGCCATTGCCTGCTTGGCCATCTCTTGAAGCAGGTGGGTATAAAGCTGACATTTAATGGAATGCCGATGCTATATGGGTTTCATATGCCTGTAAGTCTCACAAATGCAAAATGCTCAGGAGCTGGACTTCTTCATTAATAAGGGTATAAATCTTCCTAGCTGTATTTGTTTGTCAATATGCTTATTTTAAATGACAGTAGCTTACAGATCTTTAATGGAAACCTCATTTTCATTGAGATTATAAATCTCATCTAGGTTGGAATTCTTCAGAATGGGGGCAGGTGGGGCCCTCACATAAAAAAGTAAGAATGAATTTCTCCACATGTAAAGCCAGAGAAGGCTAGGCGAGAACATCTGACCTCTGGCATGTCAGTTTTCAATGTGAATTTTTATGTACAGAGGATCATTCAGTCATGTGGATGCCGCCCCTGCCCCCCCACCATCCTGGATCCTGGAAGCAGCACACAAGTTTACCTCTTGCAGGAAAAAAATAAACGTCTGTGCCTAAAAACCAGTTTAATATACATGTATTCCCTTCTGAGCTAATAGCCAATCTCAGACATTGTGGGGGCAGGGTAGGGCATGGAATGTTCTGCATTATCAAGAAGATAATGTGCCAGGAAACAAAATGCATGCATAGAACCTGAGCCATCGCTTTCCCTTATACAGGCAGTCCCTGGGTTATGAATGAGTTCTGTTCCTGAGAAAATGGAAATTTGTCTTTAAGATGAATTTGTATGTAAGTCGGTCCATGTATGGTGGGTCCTCCACATTTGTGGGGGTTAGGGGTCCAGGACCCCCTTGAAAGTGGAAAAAATGCAGATATTTATAGCTCCTCTGCCCAAACTCACCAGTGCCTCCTCTTTGTAGCAAGGACATGCTAGAGAGATTTCCCACTCCAGATGGGCAGAGAAGAAAGGCATGCTTTCAAGATATTTCTCTGGCCTTTCACTTCCTCTCTCCCTCTCTATGGAGATGACAGTCTTCCACAATATTTTTTTTTAAAAAAATAACAGGCTTCATGGTAGTTTGTAAGTATGAGTTATTCGTAACTCAGGGACTGCCTGTATACTCTCTCATGAATTCTGCTCAGTTTCCTGCTCGGGCTGCTATCCTGGGCAGAAGTTTGGTGAGAGTCTAACAGAATAGCAACAAGATCTTGGCAGTGGTGGCATCCACTTTCTGGAATGCTTTTATGAAAGAAGCCCATGTAGCCGTAATGCTCTATGCATCCTAGCACCAGCTGAACATCTTTCTCTTCTAGAAAGCATTTGGAACTTGCTGAGGTGTTATGATATTTATTATAACCTTCTTCCTTTACATTGCAAGTATTTCCTTCCAGGTTCCAGTACTGAATTGCTCTTGCTTTAGTGCTTTTATTTCTTTTTCTGCTGCTGCTGCTTCCTCCCCCTCCTCTTCTTTCTCCTCCTCCTCCTCCTCCTCTTCTTTCTCCTCCTCCTCCTCCTCCTCCTCCTCCTCTTCTTCTTCTTCTTCTTCTTATTATTATTATTATTATTAGTAGTAGTAGTAGTAGTAGTAGTAATAGTAACTGATGTATTTGTTTCTTTTGTTAGCTGTATTTAGCGTATTCTTATACAGAATTAGTAAAATAATACTGAAATTGTTCTATCATCCAGTGTAACACTTGCCCATGGGTGTGTGTATATGTACGTAAAATTAATATTAAAAACTAGGACAAGTAAGGCTAATGATAACCATCCAAAGAAAGCCCCCTGACACTGTGATATATCACAGAGAGGTAATACTAGGAAAAAATGTCTTTTGTTCCCAGGATGTATAGCTGTCTAAAATAGGGGTAAGTTAACATGATCAAAGCCTTCAGTAATTTCATTGAATTATATCTCTTTTTAGTCTCTCAGAACTCATGTCTGTGACCACTAGACACTGTCTGGATGGTCCTAGCAGAGGTCAGAGTCCCAACGGGGTTGTCAGAGCTAGAACGCCAATCTTAGAACCTCCACCCCCACAACTGCTGTAGTTCTCTCCATATCCACAGCAGCTTTCAGGTCACAAGTCCAACCTCGAAGCCAGTGTTGTGGAGGCATTCTGACTCTTGGGGAAAGAGGAGTGAAACTCCACTGGGATACAGTCTTCCTTCCTTTCCAGCAGGCACAAAACATTAGGTAGCCAAAATCAGCCCTCCAAGTCTTTTGAGGTATGGAAGAAGCTCAGAGGGGTCATTCACGACCTCCATTCATTTTCTGTCATCAAGTCAATGCTTGAAATCCTCCAGGTTCAAAGCATAATGAGCAGCCACGCTGGATTATGCTGTTATCTGTGTTCCTGGTGACTCTTAGAGCATTTGATTTTAACCCACTTTGCCACGGGGCAGAAATGCTTAAAGCAGATCACTTCTTCGACTAGTATTGTATTTTCTAGTTTTGAATGTTCTTTGCCATGGCTGCTCTCTTCTGTAGCTGTTCTTTTATTAAATGTATTTTGTTTGGTTGTGTGGTGCTATTTTGAAAAAATCAGTTGACGGGGAGATTACCCCTGCTTTACTGCTTTTCTGTTTTCAGTTTTTGCTAAATATGCCTTTTTCGTGTGAGTACGGCTTTTGCAGATGCTCTGTGTCTAGGTGCTTCTGCTTTTGTGAATTCTCCTTCAGTCTACTTCTATGCATAGCAATACAAGCAAAAATATATGATCTACAGTAATTAACAACATATGAAAATACATATTTGAAAGGTTTACTCAAGGTGTGTTTTGGTGATCCAGTTCATTCTAAAATCATACAATAATCATATATAATAGCAATAACACACTCCTCTGAGTTTCTACCCTTAGGTTGTCCAAGTAGTGCTATCCATGTGAAGAGTGAGAGATCTGAAAGCTTGGAGAAAGTGCTAAGCTTTGTAGAATAGAGGGAGCCCTTAAAAGAGTGAGCTGGTTTAATAGGCAGAGAATTTGGAATTGTAGCTGGGGAAACAAAATGGAAAACTGGGGAATGATACAGAAGAATGGCATGGCTGAAAAACTGAATAGAAGCACCACGCACTGCAATGTTGTATTAGTCAGTCCCGTCTGTATGCAAATATGGATGGATTGATATATTTTCTGGTCTGATGTCTCATGCATTCGTTCTGTTCTGTTCTATGCCTGCATTATTCTGAGAATTTAAAAAATGAAAATTTGGATTTACATAAGTAATTTTTGATGTATTTTCTTTTGAAACATGGATCTTTAAACATTTAACTTGAAAAATATGCATCTTTATACACATTTGATATTTTTTTGAGCTGAGAGCTTCATTCTAATAAGCATTCTAAGTGCAAAATCCAAAGGATAACTGCATGCCAATCTGAACATTAATCTAGGAGGTGAAGATCAGGTTAGTTTGTACCAGAGTTTGAATGGAATTAAAAGAACAAAATTTCTCAGACATCCCTATTTGCATGAATTATTGATAAAGTGTTTCAAAGGTCTAAGAGTAGTACAAGAGCTAAAAAAGAACATAAAAGCAGCCTTGAGATCAAATGGAAGTAGGAAAAAATAGAGAGAGCCAATTAAGGGTGGAGTGCTATCAATTGTGCATATGGACTAGAAGTCTGAGCGCGAAGGGTTCTGGTCATCCAGTGTGGGGCAGGAAGAACAGTGGGGATGACCTCATCCTCCACCTTGAATTTCTCTCTAGATGCCCATTTCCCCCCATCTAGCAGTGGTGATTTGGAGGCAGGAAGGAGGCTGGAGAGTCCTCAGAACAGCTCAAATCTTGATTTCCAATTTCCTCTTCTCGACTACTGGACCATGCCCCAATATGCTCCTCCAAGGTTGCTTTTCTGATGTCACAGTGTAGCCGGGCTGGTTCTTTCCACATCAGCTAACCCTAACCTCAGCCCTGACACCTCCTTCCAAGGTTGGAGTGCTGTATCTCACCATGAAGGGGGCAAACCCCAGTATTCTCTGACCCAGGATCTTGCTCCCTCTGACACAAAAGGAAGAGAAAGGGAAGTAGAGAGACAGGGAAGAGCTTTTTGGGATGTCTCACAGCTGAACATATTCAATCAAAATTAGAAACTTCTAGTACAAAGTTGCACTTACCCATTCGCATTGTATAATGTTGATTTCTGTTATACAAAGCTTGGCTTTTGACTTACATGTTCTGATTCGCTTCAATAGGAGTATGTCTGCAATACATATTGAACTTGTCTTCCAGCATAGACTGCATTCATATGTGATACAAAAAATTGCAAGAGATTTCTAAAAGTTCCACTTAGTATCAAGTCTGAAAATGTTGTCTAACTAGAGACAGTTGTAAGATATTTCCCATCTAAATGTTTCTCTCTGGATATCCAGGTTTCTTGTTCTGGTTTGCAGAGCAGCATCCATGAGGTAGCAATTCTTCTTTGTTTTCTGGCTTTGTTCAGATCACTGCTCAGGCATAGCTTGGTGTATTTTTGGATTTGCAGCTTCTTTTTTCTTTACAGTTAACCACTGTGCACAAGGGAAATGGATGCACTTATTAAAGCATTGCTCTTTGGGGGACACTGATTTTGTCATCTCCCCTTTCTAATCAGAGCACAACATTAATCTGTAAAGGAATTGGGGATGCCAGACTGACAGTAACCAAGTTCTCATTTGACATGTCATTTAGAAATGCTCTAATTTAAACCAAAAGTAAAATGCAGGACAGATAGAACCCATGAAATGAAAACGAACTGTGATAAAGTGCATTGTCCTATACCCTAGAATTACAGGGGTTATATTCCAACACTTCCGGAGGATGCAAGGTTGGGGAAGGCTGTTGTAGGGCAATCCTCTTGAAAAAGTAAGGCTTTCATAAGCATTGTGTGGTGTAGGATGGTAATCTGCTAATCATTGGAGAAACATAACTTAGAAATATCCAGAGGATGCACCAAAGTCTTTGTGGCATGACCAAGGGTATGTTTTGGATCTCTGCCAGATAGATAAGTGGAGGCATTTAGAATGAAGTTTCCCAGAACTAGATTAGAGGCACGCAATAAGGCTGATGTTAAAATCTTTCTTCACATTTCTTTACTTAACCATCCATTTTTTAAAAAATAAAAACTTGACAACAGTTAACTGCACGATTTAGATTTTTCATTGAAGCATTTACCCCGGTCTTACCTCACTGAGCTCAATGGAACCTATTCCTGAGTAGACAAGTACAGGATTTCACTGCAAGATTTATACATAACAAAACAAAGTACTTGCTACTTTCTAGATTAAAAAAAAAAAAAAACAAGAAGTCTGGAATAGAATGAGGGAAAGCTATAGATGTAAAGCAAACTGTTAAAAACGGAGCAGGGGGTTTGCTCACAAGAATACATGACTAGGCATAGATTACCCAGATACAAGGAAGAGAAGAGAAGAAGAGAAGAGAAGAGAAGAGAAGAGAAGAGAAGAGAAGAGGGAATTCTAGCAGATGCAGCTTCCCTGCAAACTCCACCTGCTGAAATTCTGTCTTCTGCACAACGGCAAAAGATGCAGGAGCACTCTCCAGTTTCACATCTGCCCACCTTTGTCTTGATATGGGATTCTTAATCTACAGTTTGTCTCTGCATTCATATTTTCAGGGCCATAAAGTATACTGCTCTCCTCTTTGAATTTCTTTTGATTAATCATGAAAATCTAACACATTGGTATTTGTTTTTATATGCTTAATTTGAATCTGTTTATTATTGTGTGTGTTTGTTTAAAATAACTGTTTCTGGACAGTGCATGTTCTTACCTTTGAACTTGTTGTCACCCTTTTCAGGAACCACAAGTTCTGCTGGCATTGTGGTTTGTTGCTTTCAAATCAAATATTATGGATTTGACTTGGTGGTGAAACAAATTATCTTTCAAAAATTTAAATGTAGGGGGTATTGTTGAGCTTTTCATAACAGTATTGCGTGGCTTTAAAATTTTGGGGGAAAAGTTCCACTGAAACCTTTATACTAAATTATGAACAGAAATCTTGCCCTAACTAATTTTATTATACAGTGCCTCCCTTTTTTGCAGGCTTAAAAATGAAAGGATTGTTTTTATATGACACCTTAATTACCAAGTTGTAAAAGATGAGCAAGATCTCATTAACTCTGTCACCTCAATAAAACTTGTCATTTAACCTGCTATGAAGTTCCTGGAATTTCAGCTGCTTAAAGTATACTTTGTATTGTATCTTTTATGTAGGTAATGGGGGAGGTGAAAAGCAGAGTATTGTAATGAATAAGCAGAATCAATAATAGCTCATACTCTGCTGTTCTGGCAATGGGAGGTGTTGAAGCCCTGGAGGCACATAAAAGCAAGCTGTGTCCGAAGATCTGTTAATTTATAGGACCTATAGCTCATTGTGAGAAAATAAGAGTCAGAGCTGAAGGCTAAAGGAAGTGATGAAATCTATGGTGTGTCAAACTGGACCAGTTCAATTTTTTTTTGGATGAATGTAGTTTCACAATAGATATGTTGCAGATCAGCTTTCTTCCTTCTCCCTGCAAAATTAAAGAATACTAGATGGTGAGAGGCTATTTTTGCCCTATTAAACTATCACATTTTCTTTTTTAGGAGCACTGTGTTATGTGTGGAGTCATTTAAGGGGGACCCATGTGAGAATAGATTGAGAGATACACTGGTGATTTGAGTTTAATTTGTGTTGTCACAACATACATATTGGCAGGTAGTACAAACACAAAATAGAAAGATACATCCTCCAGGATAGAAAAACATCCCCAGTATGATAATGTATTCACAAATAGATACTCTGCCTTCTTTGCTATCATGCATCACAAAATTCTTAGCTAAAGTTGTGGCTAGGTTCCTTTTCTTCCTATGGTAAGCCTCTTGGCGAGTCTGTGAACCACATACATATACCTTCTACACCACTAGCAGAAAGGGCTGTGGCTGACGTGTGATGTTCCACAGAGCCGCAGCTAGAAAATGACCTCACAAGATTAGATGCCCTAAAGCGGTGATAAGGTCACAATTTCCCTTTTTCACCTTCCATTTCAGGCTTAGTTCCTTGGGCAGAATTACCATAGAAGCCCACCCTCAGCTGCTGCAGACTACCATAGCTCCTCATTGGTAGCCTTGTCACCTCTGGAGTGCTCACAACTCCATCCCCAAAAATGCCCTTCAGCATCTTTGAATAGACTGAAAAATGCTCAGTAAGCTATTATGGTAAGAGGTGATGTCCCTTTGATTACACAGAACCTGTCTTCAATTCCAAATCAGCTGTGTGGTTTAGCATTTTAATGTTTGTTGCTGCTGCAGCACTTAAAAGGAATAATATTAAGAACTTCATGGATGCATTGGCATGGGAAAAGAGCCAGAAGAAGGTCTAACTGCTAAACTGGTGGCTGACAATTAGACCTTAAATAAGTCAACCTCCTGAGACCATAGCTTTGAACTACTTTCAGATAATCTTATACACAGAGTTCTTTGAAAGACCTCTTTGCGTTAGGAATCCATTTACAGATACAGTGTCATGTAACATGATCTATCCTGTCTCTAAACAAGCACAAGAGTTTTATTCCCAGTTTCAGTGGCAGTATAGTTGCATCTGGTTTAAAACAGCTACACAAATTCTGATTCACAGGGAAGACTGCTAGCTGGTTTATGGACTTCTTTATGCACAATTCCCAAATTCAGTTCACATGCAGTATTCTCAGAGCTACTATCCCTAAGAGAAATCTCTGCGGAAAATCTGCACCTGTTTGAGTGGTGCATGCCAGCATGAAATATGGTCTGCTTGTGTGGCGAAGCACAAGGGAAAAGTTAGCCACTTAACTACTCTAAAATACAATTGCATTCTTATGATGGTAAGACTCAAATGACCAGGGAGACTTAGATCAAAGTTTAGTCCTGATTTAAAGTCACCAGACAATGTTTTGAAGTAAACGCATTGTCTAAAGTTTCCTGAAAAGTTAATCCTATTGGAGAAGTAATAAAATACCAGGATATACCTTGTGAAAAGAGAAGGGTTAAGGTGTGTTTTCTTTTTTTAAAAAAAAAATCAGGTAGTTGTCTTGAATAGTTGTTTGCAAGATCAGGAATTAAGCTGGTGTGCAGATTAAAACTAGTAATAAATCGCTGTTGTTAAAACAGGTACAATATGTATCTCTCTGACATTGGTTCCATTAGGTTGGCTGTCCAAGTATGATTTTATTTCCTGACATCATATTCAGTCAAGTGGCAGTTATGGCTTTGTCAGATTAATCATCTTTAATTAAAGCCATGGTGTTGACTGCATGGAAGGTCAGTGTCTCTTTTCTTCATTCATGGAGTTCTGACTAGGCATTCACACAAATATCTGAACTGGTCAGTGCTGGATACAGACAGCAGGAATCCTGAATCCATAACAGGTAGAAAAAAGTGTTATAGTGTTGTGGAATTCTGGCTATGTCAATGATGAGTACCTTCATGCAGTATATTTCTGCATATGAATACCAATCCTTTCATGCTATAATGGTTTGGGGCCAATTGCATATTTACAAAAAGTTGTGTGTAAAATGAGGAAGCAGTTACAAGGGGAAGGGCCAGTATTATGGAAGAAGTGTAACACCAGATCTGTACTCTTTGTGTAAAAGTTGTAAGAGGGCAAAAGTTACAAGAAAAGTTTCAAAAGTTACATTCATTGTTCTTTGGCTAAGACTAAGAGTATTCTTACCAGTAAAGTATATACAAGACTGAAGGTGTATATGTTTCCCAAGTTGCTACTTTTCTAGTCTACACAGTTTGATTTATAAGGCATTTACAAAATAGCAATTTCATCCCTGTGTATTTCGGTGTATGCATCTGTGTGTCCGTCCATGTTTAAGTTCTCTGAATCCAGAGATAGGGCGTCAGCTGCAAATGTCACAAAGAGCAAATAGAGCCACCTTGGTCATAAGCAAAATTCTAAAATCCATATTAGTGCAATGCATATGTGCAGTGGTACCTTGGCTCACGAACTTAATCCATTCCAGGACTCTGGTTGTGACACAAATTGGTCATGAGCCAAGTTAAATTTCCCCATAAGGTTCAATGTAAATAAGGTTAATCTGTTCTGTAACCATTTTTTAAATCAGAAAAATGTGAAGCAAGGTGACAACAACAAAGATCACGGCCATCTCCCCACCCCAAGCACAAGCGGGGTCATCTCCCCCCCCCCCAGCACGACCAAGATCGCACCCATCATCCCTGTTGGCACCCATCATACCAGCGCACTGGGGGGGGGGATGGGCATGATTGCGGGTGCACTGGGGAAGGAAGAGACGGGCGCAAACAGCGCACTGGGGGAGGGAGAGATGGGCACGATCTCGACCATCTCCCCCTGCCCCCAGCACGATTGCGGCCATCTCCCCACTCAGGTGGGGTAGGGAGATGTCCACGATCGTGCTGGTTGGTGGGGGGAGATGGTCAAGATTATGCCCATCTTTCCCGCAGGAGCGCGCCTCTGAACAGGCACACCTTCCCTGCATGAACGGAACTGTGATTGTGGCCAACTCCCCACTCGGGGCGGGGGGGGGGAGATGGCTGTGATCTTGGTTGCCACCCAAAGCGGTGTTCGCGACCCAAGTCAATTTTTTTCAGAAATTTTTGTTCGTGACCTGATTTGTTTGTGAACCAAGGCATTCATGAGCCAAGGTACCACTGTATTAGGCTAACCTTATGATCACAGCAGATCTCCTTGAGCAAAGAGTTATTAAAAGCAGGGTGAGAAGAATGGTCAACAGGAGAAGATAAGCTGAGTTGCTGATAAAGTCAAGGTCAGCATCATGCAGACACCATGACTTGAAGGTTAACTCAGCGTTTTCTCCTTATCAAAACCCACCCTGCTTTTTCTCAAATCTTGCCTAAACGAGATCTGGAGATAACAAAAGCTTGCATATTTTTGTGATCTCTTGGTTGGCATAATAAAGGCATTGCACTAAAATGGATTGTGCAGTTTTAAACGATTTCCTTTTCACTATGTTCAAAGCCTAGCATATATGGATGTTTTGTAGGACAAATCTCCTTTCAACATCGATGCCTGAAACTGAATGAATTTGCTAAAATATTTATAATCATTTGAATAATTCTTTACTCTTGCCTTCATTGTGCTGAATGTAAGTTCTGAGGACATATAAATGCTGTCATTTTGTACAGCTGAGGTCCATAGTTCCTATGTTTTGATGCACAGCTTGCTTGATGCTTCACTTCTAAATGAACTGTGAAAGAATATTGCAAGGGATTTGAAGAACAGGCATTGAAGACAGTTTTAATTCTTATACCTCTTATACTGATTTGAAATGGAGCCCTTGCCACTTCAAGAGTAAAACAATGTTTTATCTAGACCTGCACATTTCCCCAACATTTTCATGTTTATATGCTGCCCTTTGGGGTTTTGGGTTATTAAAAGTTGCTTGAGGTTTTGGAAAGGATTCATTATGCTTCTAACTTGGTTGGTATCCTTGCACAAAAGAACATGTTCCCTTTTCCTGTTTGTTTAATGAGTGGGATGCTTTATTCTTATGGGATCTTAAAATTGAGCAAACAGATAAACATGGCATGGAAATCATCCTTGTATAATTTAAGAGATGCTATATAAGATGGTAAGAGCTGTACAGGCTGTGCTGCCCAAGTAGGGCTGGGTTCTCAAGCTGGGCTCTCAGTTAATTACAGTCTGAACTGTAAATCTACAGAAAATGCAGCTAAACTAAAGCACTTTAAACAATACATTTTAAACAATACAGTTTCCCATGTAGATGCAGGTAACTAGTTCAAGATCTTTCATCTTATGAATTTCCTCAAAGCATGTGCAATAATATAGGGACACATATGCCTGGGGGGGGTTGCCTCTGATATGTCATAAAATTATATTTAAATGTGATTTTAATAGTAATATTTTAAATGCTGTTCTAATATGTATATGTAAACCATTTTGCAATTGTTTTCATTCATGGTGGTATTACAATTAAATAATTAGTACCAGCTGTCTTGTCAGACTGAAAAGAGGTGGCGTGGTTCAGCAAAAGAGGCTTGTTTACACTCATGAGTTCTGAGGTTGGAAGTAGATAAATGCTTACTATTTCTGTTAAGCACTCCTGTTTAGTATGAGTAAATAGACTTTTACTGCTCCCATAGGAGAACTTCAGCCATATGGAAAGCAGATTATCTATCAGCACAGCCCTGTGCAGTGAGACTGGCATTACCAGGCATATCTACAGTCACTCAGAAATGTGTGAAACTGTGTGGGAAGTACTGGTTGGTGTTGCCCTAAGCAGAGTGAGGACTGTGACAATGTGTCTGCTCACGATGCTTGATCATGCTGGGAGTCTGGCCATGTGGAAGGAATCCACACTGTGCAATCATTCCAGGTTAGAATTGCTCCAGTTTCCAGATGGATCATTGGTGTGGGAAGGAACGTCAGCATGGACGTCTCCCACATGACCACACCCTTCCATTGTAACCAAATTACATTCGTAGAAGCCATGCGACAGCAGCTCCTACTTCATTTAAAGCAGAAATATACTACCCTGACCAAGAGCCACATCAACTATCTGCTGGGGAGCAGGAAAGACTGCACATGTCCGTTCAGAAAAAAGTCATATGCAAGCCATAGACAACACACATACTCCTCGCTCAAATCCACATCCTGTCCAAAAGCATTTCAGAACTGTGGCACTTGTTTTGAGTGGCTAAAACCAACACTACTCTCAGAAAGTTCAGTTACCAAACCAGCCAACCAGGCAAGAGTCTTGGGGAAAAAAGACTTTGGAACCAATCTTATGGATCCTGCCCATGTGAGGAAGCAGGCAGAAACCTTCAAACACAACTTACTAGGATACTCCAGGAAATGAGGCCTCTGTGGTGGCAACATTTCTTTTTCCCCTGGGATCACCAGGCATGAAAAGAGAACATCGGTAAGACCTCCACTTTCTGCACAGACTTTTCCTATCTGACTTTTTCTTATAGTGATTATGTAAGCAGTAGTCACCTTCTTTCACCCAGTGTTAGCTCTCTAGAAATGAAGGCATTTATTCTGTACATAGAGGTCTGTGGACAGAATGTGATCAGTTAGCAGTGCAAACATGGAATCCCTAACCTCCTCTTGCATTCAGAATATACGTCCAACCTTTCTCAGCCAAAAAAAGCATGATATGTTTCCCACAAATGTTTCAGACTAACACAGACTGGCACAATTAATGGTGCTCTAAGGGGAACTTCCATGGCAAACAGAATCCATCTGCCATGTCTTTCCCTTGCCTGCTACAGCCAAAGCAGCACATGATAAATTACTAAATATTTTATATGTTTATTTGCTAGTAAAAAGTGACTTCAACATTTGAATTCTTTTGTCTTGCATCCAAAGGACTCATACAATAACTGCATTGACCACTATGGCACACTGGTATTTTCTGGTATTGTTAACTTTGGGCACAATCCTATGGATGTTTAGCTGGGGCAAGGCCCTGCAGGCAAGCTGACTGGTGTATGCTGAGAACTGTCAGGGTTTAAGAAAAAGGAATCTAAGCATGCATAGGACTGCATCTTTCTTCTATTAATCCAAAAAGTGCTGTGAGTGAGCAACTTCATACATACTGTAATGGAGCACCAGTTGATAGAAGCCAGGTTTAAATCCTTTCTTGTCATGAAGGACTTAAACAATCATAGAAGAATCATATATAGTGACTTTGCCTCCAGTTAAAGCTTATGTGGTCACATTTATTCTCACCACATTATGAACAGGATTAAGAATATCAAAGTTCCTTGAGTTTGAAAATAACTGACTCAAACTGTTTCCCCACTGCTCCTATTGTTTGATCTTACTAAAAATCGAGTTTCCTTTCTTGACATTCTTATTCCATTCATAATTAAAATCAAGATGTTTTAGAGGCAAGAACTTGCACTGGAACTTGCCCTGGAAATAAATATGATGAAACTGATGCTATCATGCTTTGAGCACCTGAAAAGAAGGAGAGACTCAGTGGTGAAGACAACAATGTTTGGAAAAGATGAAGCAAAAGAATAGATGGATCATTCCCATAAAGGAAGTCACAGTCTTGAGTTTACAGGAGTTAAGCAGGGACATTTTGGAGGGCAAAATTCCTAGGGTTACCATGTGCAAACAACCAAAAACATTCAGTTTCTTAACATACTCCAAAGCCATGCTTAGACGTATTTCTTCACCTTGTTTTTAAACCTTTGATTTCTTCATTATTGCTTCCCATTAACTATAATGAAGAAATCAATAAATAGCTACAACTTTTTAATGTGTTTTTAAAATTTGATTATTAAATCCACAGACAGAGTAGCCTGGTAAATGTTACGCAAACAGGTATAAAGAATGTTTGTGCTTGGTGTCTTTAAATATGGAGTGGGGTGGGGGTAAAAGCAAAAATCTCTTATCTATAACTTTCTTCCCCCTAGCAGAATTAGATTTCATTTGCAGGCAGAATTGTTCCTTCTATAGGAATGCAATTTGCCTAATTTAGATACCATATTTTTCGCTCTGTAAGACGCGCCTGACCATAAGACGCACCTAGTTTTTAGAGGAGGGATCCATGGAAAACTTCCTGATAATCACAGGCACATTCCCCATCACTTCCCCATGGGCTTCATTAAAAGACGGGTTGCCATTTGAAAACACACACCGACCTGTGATTAACAGCTCTCACCTGCACCGGAGGAGGGGGGGGGGGTGGAGCAGGGCGCGCCGAGCATGTGCCGGTCAGGTGTGGTGCAGCTGGGCCGGCAGCATGCCGGCAGTGGTCTTCTGGGTGGAGCGACAGTGGCAGGTCTTCCCAGGCGGTGGGGGTGAGCAGTCTGTCTCTCCATGTGGCCGGCAGGTTAAAGCCCGCGGCTCCTCCTCCTCCGCGGCAGGTCTTCCTGGGCGGTGGGGGTGAGCAGTCCGTCTCTCCGTGCGGCCAGCGGATTAAAGCCCACGGCTCCTCCTCCTCCGCACTGCTCCCCCTGAGCGGCACAGCTCTCACCTGCACCGGAGGGGGTTGGAGCAGCGCGTGCCGAGCGCGTGCCGGCCAGGTGGTGCCACGTGGTGCAGGCGGGCCGGCAGCTTCCCGGGCGTCAGGCACACACACATTTGCTCTATAAGACGCACAGACATTTCCCCTTACTTTTGACGGGGGGGGGGGGAGTGTGTCTTATAGAGCGAAAAATACGATAATAAGTGCAAGTATTTTTATGCAAGTGGATTAGTTAAAGTCTGGATTATTTTAAAATTACTTTTAACCATTCCCTGGTTGGAAGCAAGAGTTGCCACAAAAGAGCTCACTTTTAATTTTTGAAAAATTTTTGATTTTAAAGAGATCTTCAGCTTGGAGTAAGTTCAAAAGTGTACTGAACTTAAACTGAAATTTGGCCTCTCCCTGGAGCATACCCAAACACCAGGATATGATTGCTGTGAATAAGTCATCTTGTGGTCCAAATCCCTGAAGAGGGATGCTTCAGCATGAAAGTCCTCTGAAGTTGGATACGCACCTTCAGAATGGACCTTCAAAGTTTGTGTTGATGGGGCTTGCACTCATCAAAGATTTCTATGACCCCTTCACTTTGAATTCAACTATCTCTAATTTTCCCATTTTAAACATTCAGTTCAGTGTATTTACAGCACACTGGGTTGACTTTGGGGCAGTCAGTTGGCTTGGGAGCTAAGCCAGGAAGGATTGGTGTTGTCTCCCACTCCAGCGTAAGCTCTTTTCTATTGAAAAAATTCTGCAGATGCTATTGGGAAGATTTCATGGCTTTCATGATTCCTTGATGAGAGTATGACATTCAGATGACTGGGTGGGAG